TATCCCATGAGGGAGAATTCCTAATTTTTAATAGGAAAAATTCAAAAAAAAAAAAAAAAAAACGCACGCAAGGAAATCTGTAACGGCATGGACTCAATGACATCCTAAACCTATAGGGTATTTTCCAAAAATACAAATTTTTGTATGTACCTGGTCCAGGCGCTACGACTTTGATGCCGTAAAATTTTTTTGAGGACATCATGCCTCCTTGGAAGAATCCCATTTCAGGACTTCATGTCGACCTAGTCATGTACATCCGTCCGGTCGTCTGTCTGTGTGACCGGCTTGAAGTTATATAACTCTCGAAGTGAGCGAGGCTGCTTCCTTAGCTTTATATGTGATAATTTTGTGCGTTTTGTACCAGATATATGGTCGACCGAAGTATTCCATTTTCATACTTCATTTAAGATCGATTAAAATATTGGTATGTGCAAAGTTACAAGAAAATCGAACATTTATATCCAATTTTATGCGTGCAAAAAATATTTTTTGGAAATTTCCATCTTTTGTGGGAAAGGTACCAGAAGGAGCGGACCGATATATTCCATCTTACCACCAGACTTTGGGTTAATCAAAATATTATGATGTGTGTAATTTAAAGACAATCGGACTCATATATCACATTTTATAAGAATTGTAATTATTCTAAATTTTGATCCTTTGTGGGAGAGGTACTTGATGGCCCGATATTGTCCATTGTCGCACCTGACCTAGCACTGATGCAAATATTAGAATTTGCAAAGTTGGAGCAAAATCGGATTATCCTTTCTCTTTCTGTGCAGTAAATTTTGTTATTTGAAATTATGAAATTGTATCATTTGTAGGGGAGGAATCAGAAATGGATTGGACCGATATACCACATCTTTTCAGCATATCTTGAGTTATTAGAAGTTATGGGATGTGTGAAATATGACGAGAACCTGATGCTCATTACGGATTTTATAATCGTTATTTTTATTCAAAACGTGGACCCTTGGTGGGGGAGGCACCGGAAGGAATGATCCGATCTCTACGATCTTTAGAAAATATCTTGTGTTGATAGAAATATTGAAATCTTGAATTACTTTTTTTGAAAATGTTGACATTTTGTGTGGGAGGTACCCGAAGGAGTGCGCCGATTTTGCCCATCTCCGAACTCGATCTAAGTTTGATAATAATATTACCATGAATCTAGTTTGGACCAATTCTCATATTCCCTTCGAGCCATACAGGCAGGCGAACGGACATCACTAGATCGACTCCAAATGTCCTGAAACGGATTTGGTCCAAAGAGACCTAGGGTCTAAAATCGGTATTTCGATGATGCACGTTGTGGCCGTATCAAATGATATACCCTCATTAGCTGAGGTTATAAAAATAAATATATCAGATTTTTACCAACAAATCTTACGATTTTTTTGTTTTAAATTTTATAATTTGTGACAAGAATGTTCTGATATCGAAGGTGTCCTTAAAAAACTTAAATAGAATCCTTAACTTTTTGGTTAAGAATTCTTTGTTTCTTTTCAGCTCCACGATTTTTCATATAAAAATTCACAATTTTTGTCTGGAACATTAAAAACAAGTCTTTAAAATCGAAAATATTAAATATTTAACATTTAATAAGAGTTATTATTATTCAAAGTGTGGAATGGGCCGATATATTCCATTTTCGTACCTAACCTAACACCTGGAAAATTTTGACCTTTTTTGAAGAAGGTACCAGAAGGAGTGGACCGATGTTGCCATCTCCGAAGTTTGATAAAACTTCTAGATCGACTACCTCTAGATCGACTACAAATGTTCTGAAATTTATTTGGTCCAAAAACCGTCAATTCAATGAGACACGTTTTGACCGTATAAAACGATATATACTCTCTGAGGGTACAACTAATTTGGAAAATACATATTGTAAATAATAAAAAATTAAGAATTAATTAAGAATTAATTATTAAAATCCAAATATTTATTAATATTTGTAAAAAGGTCATAGGTCAAAGTGTCGAAAATATTCTTAATTTGTTGTATATTTTGCATTTTTGCAAAACAAAAAAGGTTTTTGTAAAAAACGATATTGATTTTTGTCAAAATTTAGCTAAATCTATTATTCAAATGATTTGGGAAATATGTCTCAAACAATACCTAAAAATATTACTTTATTTTGTAACAAAAAAATGCAAATAATTATCAAAAGTCAAATTTTGAAAAAAAAAATCCTTAGTTTTTAACAAAAAAGTTGAATACGTTTGTTTTCAGAAATAGTTTTCTTGGTTAAAGATAGTAGTTGAAATATCATAAAATGTAATTTTTTGAAAAACAAGTTAAAAAGCAGTAAGTTCGGCCGGGAACGAATTAGGAAATTTTCAAAAAATAAAATCCGTTAAAAACTCTGTTAAAATCTTTAAAATACCGAACATAGACGTTATATTGGGGTCTATACGACGTGGACCTACTCAGGCATTGTTTGTTGTAAGCCATTACCATATTCAAATTTGAAACTTAAAATAAACGGTGAATGATTTAGCTAAAATCATCAAAATGTCGCATATAGAGAGGTACCGTTATATCGGAGCTATACCTGGACCTGCATAGACAGTTTTCTGTCACAAGCTGTAGCATCCATTACGAACTTCAAATACGACATCTCAAACAATTTCGGGGGTTTTTGTACCTAAACTCGTCAAAATACCGAATATAGGGAGGTACTGATATATGGGGCCTATACGAAGACCTGGACCTGCATAGACAATTTTCTGTCGCAGACTGTAGTTCCCACTACGAACTTCACATACCGAATTTGAAACTACTCCGGTGAATAATGTCGCTAAAATCATCAAAACGGGGAATATGGGGAGGTATCGTTTAATGGGGGCTATACGAAGACGTGGACCTGCAAAGGTAATTTTCTGTCACAGACTGTAGTTCCCATTATGAACTCTAAATACGTAATTTGAATTAATTCCGGTGAATAATGACGCTAAAATTATCAAAATACGGAATATAGGGAGGTACTGATATATGGGGCCTATACGAAGACATGGACCTGCACAGATAATTTTCTGTCTTAGGCTGTAGTATCTATTTTGAACTTCAAATACCAAATTTGAAACAATTCCGTTGAATAATATCGCTAAAACCATCAAAATACGGAATATAGGGAGGTACTGATATATGGGGCCTATACGAAGACATGGACCTGCACAGATAATTTTCTATCTTAGGCTGTAGTATCCATTTCGAACTTCAAATACCAAATTTGAAACAATTCCGGTGAATAATGTGCCTAAAATCCTCAAAATACCAAATATCGGGAGGTACCATTATATGGAGGCTATACGAAGACGTGGACCTGCACAGACAATTTTCTGTCTTAGGCTGTAGTATCTATTTTGAACTTCAAATACCAAATTTGAAACAATTCCGGTGAATAAGGTCGCTAAAATCCTCAAGATACCGAATATCGGGAGGTACCGTTATATGGGGGCTATATGAAAACGTGGACCTACTTGGCTCATTTACAAACCTAACATGCCGACTGGGAAAATAAACATATATGCAACATTTTAGCCTTCTATCTCAATTCGTTCGAAAGATAGCGTGATTACAACAGACAGACGGACATCGCTAAATCGTCTCAGAATTTTACGCTGATCAAGAATATATATACTTTGTTGGGTCTGACATGAGTATTACGAAGAGTTACAAACGGAATGACAAAGTTAGTATGGTGGAGGGTGTAAGCAAATATCCCTAAAAAATTCCAGATGTAAACATTTTTAAATATTCTTTGATATTGAATTCGAATATCCTTCCTATTTTAATTTTTATATGCTGAATTCAAAGTTGCTATTTTAAGAGATTTTTTGTTTAAAACAATCCTCATTTTTTGTTAAATTTAGTCTGCTTTGCTTCCCAAAATCCCCTTAACTTTTTATTGGGATATTTCCAAGGAATCAGAAGCATTTCAATAAATACCAATATCTCCATAATCCCCCGAATCGTTGTAATAATTCTCAAATTACAAGTGGATGGATTTTCCAAGAAACAAAAAGAAGAATTAAAATTACAAAAAAAATTCCCGCCCAATTACAGAAATCCCCAGTGTTCTGTTGCGGCAGGGAAACCATCATCGAGTCAAAAGATGTTAAACACCTCCTTAGCCGTGTTAACACCGAAGATAAATGAGCTTAACACTATTAGCGATGTTGTTGCTGTTGTTCTACTGTTATGACTGTTGTGACGACAAAACATCTGGATGTGACAGCGAATACTTGAACTTGATACAATTATGGAGCGTGTTGGAAATGGCCAAAACGGAAGGTAAATCCCACAACAAAGATTGGTGTTGCTGTTGTTGTTGCTTTCTTCTGAATCATTTGTTTTGGGCAGAGCATGCGCGCTCTTTGTTCGCATCTCATTATTACAGGCTCCTCTCTTCTTACGCACGAGAAAAGATAAACATTGCTGGGTGTTTGTTGTTTTGGTTTGTGTTGTGTGAAACGAAAGCGCACAATAACAACAACAAGAGGGTTTTACGAACCATAACAAAATTCCCCAGTCAGCCAAAAGGTAGCACTGATGCTGTGACGTAGTTTAGCAGACCTGCTCTCCTCACCAGATGCTTGAGGAAATCACCGGCCTCCCTTGCTCTTCCACAGGTTTTAATTGTTGGCATGGCAAAGACAAAAAAATCACCGCTTTTAAGTCAAGTTAACATATTGGGGGTCTGTTGTTAACAGGTTTTGAGTGGCTGACCACCAACAAGTGTGTGAGTACGGCTGAGGCAGAGAGGAGTTAAGGGGGAGCTCTTTACTGACTGAGTGTTACTCATTTGAATCTAACTCTCTGTTAACTTGGCAATGTTGGGCCGTTGTGGTGTGTGCGGCTTAAAGGTTCGCTCGTCTCGTTCTACACAGCCCCAGCTGTTAACGGCCACGACGCCTGCTACTGCTGCTGCTGCTGTTAACCAGCCCGAAATACAGCGTCGAGGGTATATAAACATTGGGAGCTTGGACATTGAGCATGCATTGATTCGCTATCACTCGCTCTATTAACTTGCTTCTTTGGTTAGAAGGAAAAAACGTCCAAAACGTTTTATCAGTTTTTAACTAAAAAAATTTAAATAAAAAATTAAAAATTAATTAAAACAAAAAGTAGTTGCTGCTCAACGTTTGTTGTAATTCTTAGCTAAAGTCATTCGTGTGTTTTTTGGAAAACCCAAAGTTAAGTGTTGCAAAAAAACAAGGATTAATCCCCTCGAATATCCTCAGCGTCAGAAGTGTTAATTTTTGTGAAAATCGAATTTTTTTTGATACCTGCCTGCCGCTCAGCTAATTTAGACACAAACGTCCCGCAACGAGATCTACAAATTTGGAGCTAGAAGCCTGCTATAACAAATAGAAGCAAGTCCCAGAATATTTTTTAAAAAATAAGCAGTGAAAGAAAAATTAGTGATTTTTCAAAAAGGCTTATTTTCATTTACAACAACGCCAACAAAAAGTATTAAAAGTGTTTTTTTTTTAAATCTTTGATAAAAGAAAACACTTTGGTAAATTTTTGACAAGACTACTACAACAACAAGGAAAATCTTAAGGTCCTAAAACCGCTACCAATACCAACAACTACATACCTAGAAAATTTAATTTATTTTCCTCTACCACCACCACAACAACAAAAAAAAAAAACTCCTAACAAAATGATGGCCGTAGCTGCTGCCCAAAAGAACCGTGAAATGTTCGCCATTAAAAAATCATACAGTATTGAGGTGAGTTTTGAGTAAAATTTATATAAGTTAAAAAAGAATAAAATTAGGAAAAAGTGAAGAAATTTGAAATTTGAAACTAAATTGAAAAATATTAAAAATAATCCCGAAAATATGATATTGGACTTTTGGAAATTTATAAAAATGTCCTTTTAGTGAAATGTGCAGAATTTCCACATTAAAAAAAAACAAAGAAAATATTTGAAATTGAAAAAATATTTGTTTTTAGTTTAAAAAACATAACCTAAAAATGTCTTAAAAATATTAAAAATCGTGAAAATTTTAAAAATATATTCCTAGTGAAATTTGTAAAATTTCTAATATTTAGAAGATAAATATCGAAAAAGATTTTTTAATATAAAATTAAAATTTTCAATATCTTTTATTTTAAAATAAGGGAAAAATCAAAACTTTTTTTGGGAAAATAAAAAAAACTAAAACTCTTTTTTTAAGAAAAAATCCACTACTCATAATATGTTTAACCCAAAATTACCCTAAATTTTATAAAGAAAATTCCCTATATTTGCCTTTTTTTCAAAAAAAATATACTTTTTTATTTTAGACTTGAAAAAAATAAAATTTCTTCAAAGTTAGAAATCTATACATTTTTAAACAAACTTACAATTTTGACCAAAAAATCTTAAAAAAAACCAAAATTTCCCTCAATTTTTCTAAAAAGTCACTTCAATTTTTTCTTTCAAAAATATCCCATTTTTTAAAATTCCAAAAAAAAATTAAATTTCTTTGAAAGAATTATACCAATTTTATTGTCCCATAGAAATTTAAATTTCTTGTAGTTTAAAAAAAAACATTATTTTTTTTTTAAAAATTCTTCCAAACAAAAATTTCCCTCCATAGGAAATTTTTATTTCCGCTCCAAATTTAAAATTTCTTTCATATTTTCATATATTTTTGCTTAAAATACAAATTTCCACTGAAAACAAAAATTTCACTTAAAATTTCCCAAAAGGGAAATTTTGTAATTTTTCCAAAATTTAATCTTTCGATTTATATGAAGTCTTCACATGAAATATTTTTTATAAAAATTCCTAAAAACAAAAATTTCCCTCGTAGGGAAATTTAAATCTTGGGGGAAAATTGTTAAAATTTCCTTAGTTTTATTTTCAAATTTCTTATAAATTTCATATCAAAGCCTTAGATGGCTTTTAGGGAGTCATAAAACACATTTTTTAAGAAATCTTAATTTTGAGAAGGATTATGTTACCTTTTTTGCCTTCAAATTTCCCTTAAAATTTCCCAAAAGGGAAATTTTCAAATTCTTTCAAAATTTGTTTTCCCTATTCATATAGAGCCTAAAACTGAAATATTTTTTTTAAAATTCCTAAATTTATTTTATTTATATTTAATTTATTTAAAATCTTAGATGTTTTTTAGGAAGTCATAAAAAAAATGTTCCAAAATAACAAAAATTGAAGGGAAATTTTAATTTTAGACGGAAATTTTCTAAATTTTCAATTCTTTGTCTTCAAATTTTCCATCAAAAAAATTAGTTTTTTTTTCCATAATTTAACTTTGCGGTTAATATAGAACCTTAAAATAAAACCATTGTTTTCAAAATTCATAAAAACCAAAAATTTCCCTTGGAGGGAGATTTGTAATTTTTAAGGAAACTTTTCTGACACTTTCACTTGTTTTAGCTTCGGATTTTTATAAAGTCTTGGATGTTTTTTTACAAAATCATAAAATCCATTTTTAGGGCATTTTTATATTTTCAATTTTTTATCTTCAAATTTCCCAAAAGAAAATTGTCCTTTTTTTCCAAAATTAAATTTTTTTTTTTTTTTTTTTTTTTTTGGAAAATTCGTTAAAACAAAAATTTTCCTTGGAGGGATATTTTAAGTTCTGAGGGACATTTTTAACTCTGATTTTTTAAATTTTATTTAATGCTAAAAAATAATACATTTTACTTTTAAATCAAAAATATCCATACCAATTTTTTTTTTTTGAAAGATCCCTTTTAGGAAAATTTTAATATTGAAGTCAATTTTGAAAAAGTATCTTCAAAATTCCCAAAACATTCTTTACCAAATCTCCAAATTTGTCCATTTTTTTGCCAATTTTATTTTTGTAATTTCCTTACATAATTCCCCAAAAAAATCCAGTTTTTTTTTGAACCAAAAAAAATTCACAACATATTTTTTTCACACCAGCAAACATTGACATACTTTTTTGTGCCCCCTCCTTCCTTCTCCTCCCCAAAAAATTATGGTTTATTTTGATATCATAAATATTATTATTTTTTTTTTATTGAAGACAAAAGAAATGCAGATAACATACCATCAGTTTTGGGGAATTTCAACACATTTCCCCAATGTAACCCCCTCACAACAAAAGTCTTTCTTCAATTTTGGAAATGAAATTGAAAACGTTATTTATGGTCTCGGGTGGGTGGGGCCGAGTGGCCATAACAACATCTCCGTTGTTTGGGTCATTATTTATGAGGCAAAAAAAAAGGGAAACAAGTTCGAAGATCGATCAATGGATTGCTTGTTATGGTCAGCGGCAATGATAACAACAAAAACCACAAACAAAATTATTAAGTTGTTAACATTGTTAATGAAATAACCGCTGACCGGCAAACCGCAAGAAATGCCCCATTAAATATTTTTTTGTTTGTTAAAAACAAAAATAGCCCACCCCATTTCATTTCATTGGATGGATGCTGCGCGTGCGTACGTGCCAACTTTGTCACCTAGCATCGCATTGTTCGCCCCCCAAAGCCGAGACCGGCCGACGACCACCAACAAAACAAATAAATGCCATAAATTTGTTAGTTTTTTGTCATTTGGTCATTGATTTTATTACCATTTTTTCCATCTCTTCCTCTTCTTCACCATTTTCTGTTTTATTTCAAAACCCATTTATCTTCGAACTGCAAGAGATATTAATGATTTGTTTGGTTTGTTTTGATTACGCTGCTGCCAAATAAAAAAAATTGATGTTTACAGCTTTATTAACACCTCTTGGAAATTGTGGTTAAATACATATGATGGGCAGCCACATAATGATCATCATGATGATCAAACATCATCATCATGATGATAATGATGTTCATGGTGTCGATCGTTGCACCAAGCCAAGGGCCTGCGTCCATAACTCAATGACATGGCATTTGAAGAATTTCCCTTTATGTTTTGACCAGTCAGTCACTTGCCGGAGATGACAGATAACAACAAAAGTAATAAAAATAAAATTAAATTCCGAAATAACGACCTTTTGGAGATGAGTTGAAAATCTGGCATTGATTTCAGTTTACTTTCACTTTTATTTATTTATTATTTTTTTTTTTTTTTGGGAAAGATGGTAATTTTTCTTTTCGATTTGGGCCTGAAGCAACAACCCATTCATATGGAGGTGTTAATTTGTTATTGAAAAATCAAATTAATATTTTTTTTTTAATAATAATAATTTTTTTTATAAACAAAATTTCGTTACATTGCAACATAAACAAGTGCGAAATAAATAAAATAATTGAAAACAATGTTGATAAATAGATCAATATTTGAACTAAATTTTGCAAAAATAGGGGAATTTCAGTCTCAAAACTAAAATGTAGGCTCAGTGATATATTTTAACTAGATTTTTTTTCATTTTTCATATTTCGAATTTGTCAATTTTTTTTATTTCTTTTTTTAATTTTTGTTTTGTTAATCAAAAGTATTTTTTTCACAATTTTTACTAATTTCCATTTTTTCCTTTATTCCATTTTTAGAATGGTTATCCATCTCGCCGCCGCTCTCTGGTGGATGATGCCCGTTTCGAAAGTCTGGTTGTCAAACAAAACAAACAAATTGTTTTGGAGGAGGCCCGCACCAAGGCTAATGGTAAGTTCAAGAGATATATACCCAGAATAATGAAAAAAAAAAAAAAAAAAAAAAACTGGAAATTGAGGCACCGAAAAGTAATTTTGAAAGAAAAACCTGAGAATTTAAGAGAGTGAGAGGGAGGGAGACCTGAAGAGAAAAAATCATAAAAAAAATAATCTCTCTATTTCTCTCCCTTATTTCTCATACTCCACGTTTTCCTTCAAAAAATTTCCTATAACTTGCTTCCAATAATTTGGGAAAAGATCTTTTGCAAGAAAATCGGAGTATTTTAGAGAAAGAGACCCCGAAGAGAAAATTCGATATTCTCTTCATCTCTCTTCCTAATTTTCCAAAAATATTTTTTTTCTTCATAAGGCTTTGGGACCCAAAAAGACACTGGAAATATAAAGTTATATCCCTAAACTGAATAAAAAATCTAAAAAATTAAGAATTTTAAAAATTTCGAAAAATTGCCGATAAAACAGTTCATGGGATCGCCAAAAAATTAATTTGAACCTTTTCCGAATTATAGTAATTCCTAAATATTCCTAATAATTCCTAAAAATCCACAGTGCAATGACATATTATCAAATTTATGACATTTCAAATTTATGTGTGACTTTTTTAAGTTATGGTCCTTAGGCCATTAAATAACACTAATTAAATATTCCAAAAAATGGAATAAATTCAGGATTTCAAATTTTACCTCCATATTAATGTCAGTCGATAACACAGTGCAATGGAATATTGTTATATTCATGACATTTCAAATTTATGTTTTTTTTAATTACGGTTTTTAGAACATTAAGGAACACTAATTAAATACTCCACGAAAATGGAATAAATTCGGGATTTCAATGTTCACCTCCATATGAAATTAAGTCGATAACACAGTGCAATAAAATATTATCGAATATTTGACTTTTCAAATTTTTGTTTGTTTTTTTTTATCAAATTAAGGCCCTTAGACCACTAATTAAATATTCCAAGAAAAGGGAATAAATTTGGGGATTTTTAATTCATATGAAAACTTTTTATATCCTGCTCTCCAAAAATTAAACACCAGGAATATATGCCTCCATGCCTCTTTTTGGTTCCTTAATTTTTATTTCTCTTAATTTTATATTTTATTTTTAAATTTTATTTTCAATTTTTTATTTTTATTTATTTATTATTTTTTTTTTGTAAAGATGGTTCCCTCGAAGATGCCATCATGCAAGCCAAGGGCGAGCATGTCCCCACCCAAGAACAAATTGAATTGCAAGATGAACAACAGCTAGAAAACTTGGATGTTGTTGATGACATTCACCAAGCCGAATACAATGAAGGTAGAGAGTTATTTTCAATTTTTTATTATTTAATTTTTTATTATTTTTTGAAATTCATTTTTATTTATTATTACTTTTATTTTTTTTTTTCATTTCATATTAATTTTGTTTGACACAAACAGTTACCATTGAAGCCGAATATCCAGTTGAATCTGAACAAACTCAGGAATCTAATGATAATAGTGATGAATCTAGTGATAATAAGAATAATACAGATGGTAAGCATTTATGACAGAGAGTGTAGAAAACAACTAATTTCACAAGCCCCAAATTCATGAAAAAAAATCATTTCAAGGCAATTTTCAAAAATTTTGCAAAATTATCGATAATGCAGTCGAATACCAATTTTCCAAATATTGAAGTCATGGGCAAAAACTGTGTGGCAAAATAATTTAACAATTAAAGCATAAAAATCATTTAAAATCAATTTTCTGAAATTCACGAAAATTGTCGATAGTGCAGTTCCACACCAATTTCTCAAATATTGAGTGTAGGGATACGAAAACAGCTTAGCAACAAGTTTACGAGCCTCAATTCAATAAAAAATAATTTCAAAGCAATTTTCAAAATAATTCCGAAAAATTGTCGATAATACAGTGTCACACCAGTTTTTTGAATATTCAGCACTGTGACCAGAACGCACTGTAGCAAAACATGAGTTTACAAGCTTGAAACAATAACAATCATTTCAAAGTATTTTCGAAAAATTTCAGAAAATTGTCGATAATGCAGTCTTATTTTAATTTTTTAAATATTCAACCCAGGGACAAAAAGACGAAAAATATTGAACATTGTAGCAAAAAATAGCTTCAAACGATTAAAAATCACTTGAAAGCGATTTTAAAAATGTTCGGCAAATTATCGATAATGCAGTTCCATAAACAATTTTTAATACCTTGAATGCACAATAGTTGACAATTTAAAGACAATTTTGCACGTTGTCGTCGGTGCTATATTTTTACATCTTCATTAACTATGATGCCGATAATACCGTCTAAAACAAATTTTAGCTTAAAATGTTTCAAAATGTTATAAAAATTCGGAAAATGTGCCTCTTATATTTGCCTCATTATCTAAAAATAGCTGTTCTAAGCAGTTTTAAAAAATATGTCGATAAAACGGTTTACTGTAACTTTTGATCCAATTGCAATAGCAAAGATTTAATACGAACTTTTAGCTATTGAGAAAACCTTTTACCATTTAAGACATCCAAATATGTGTTTTAGACACTTTCAGATCGCTGTCGGTAAAACGGTGTAATCTATTTTTTGATTATATTGCAATATGAAACATACAATACCAGCTTATGGATGCTATGAAACACTGCTACCACTTCAGTCATCTAAATATGTATTTTAGCCATTTTCAGGCTATTGTCGATAAAGCAGTCGGTCGGTAAAATTTAAACTACCAGATATTTTACAGTTTTTTTTTTTTGCATTTTTAAGCAAAATTTGTTCCCTGGACAATTTTTTTAAATTGGACAATTTTCAATGTCAAAAAACAAAATTTTAATTTGAAAGCCCTATAGAAATTTCATAAAATATTAAAAAAATATTTTTCATTTTAATTTTTATATTATTTGCATTGAAATTTTGAAGAAAAAGAAGGAGAATAATTTATTCTAGGCAATATAGTTATTTTGGCAACGGTACAACTCACAAGAAACGAGTTATAAGTCAATTTAGAACATCGGTCGATAAAACGGTTTCTTCCAACTTTTGATCTATTCGCCATACCAAGGAAAAATTTAGCGTTTTAGAATGTATTTTACCTCTGCAAATATTCCAAATAATGTACAGCTTTAAAACCTCTCAAAAAAAAAAAAAACAAAAAATCTAATCCCAAAAAAAATTTTGAAATATTAAAAAAAAAATTTAAATTATTTTATTTTCCCTTTGAAATTAAAAAAAAAAGGCGTAGGAAAATTTATTCCAGGCAATATAGCTATTTTGGCAACGGTCCACATTACAAAAAACGAGTTATAAGGCATTTTAGAAAATCGGTCGATAAAACGGTTTCACCCACCTTTTGATCTACGTGCCATACCAAGGAAAAATTTAGCGTTTTGAAATGTATTTTACCTCTGCAACAATTCCAAATAATGCGCAGCTTTGCAACCTCTCAAAAAAATCGTAAAACAATTTTATTGACCTTTGTTCCCCAGTTTCAATGCCGCTTAATCGCCTTAAATCCCATGCTATTTAAATTCCCCAAATCAAATTATTTAATAATCCGCTCTCTTGAAAATCTCTTCGCCATAAAAAAACAACTCTCCACTTCGAATGTCAAATAACAATCATAATTTAGTATTATCTTAAGACCTCTTAACAGTTCTTATCCTTGCCATACTTGTAGATGTTAAATTCATTTTTTTCTGGTTTCTGATCCTTTTGTCCTCCTCCAAGTTTAAATCATTGCTATGATTTCAAATGGAAAATTGTTCATTTCCGTTGGCTTTTCCGGCTGTTGCTGCTGCGTAACAATGCCTGCTTTCCATCATAAAGTCATATTTCTGTAGTTGTGTGGGTGGGTGGGTGTGTGTGTGTGTGCGTGCTAATGTCATAAGTCTATAAAGCAAAAAATCTTATAATATTACAATCAAATATAATACCCAGGCATGACACACATACACATACATCCATGGAGAGGAAGAGCATTTAAGTTCCTTGTGTGGGGGGGGGGGGGGGGGGGGCGGAGGAGTGGGGGATGCAGTGCTGGCAACACTTAAGCGTTTTTGTTGCCTTTCACTCTATTAACTCCCAACATTGAAGGGAAAGCCTGTACTTGTCATAATGGCATAGTGGAGGCAGGGAGGTAAGGGGATAACCTGCGCCACCCCTCCATTCCCATTGTCAGGACTTAAAAACGTTACGTTTCATTTCACTTTTGAGTGGGTGCTAAGCGTGAACAATAATCATTTTCTTTGTGCTGCCATTCATCATCACAACTGGCATAAAAGGTTTTTCCTTTTTCCATTCATTTGTGGGGGCGGAGTACGTGTCCTGCATTAGCTGGGAAGTGCATAAAAATTAATTCTTTTTTCCTCTCTTTTTCTTCTTCTCTTTCTCAGATGCTGGTTTAACTGAAGATGAAATTGTTTTGGCCAATGCCGCCAGTGAATCTCCTGAAGCTGAAAATGCCGTACAAAACGCCGCCCTGATTGTACGCCTCAAGGAGGGCATTACCTCTTTGGGTCGTATCCTCAAGGCCGTGGAAAATTATCACGGCACCGTACAACATGTGGAGTCACGTCAATCCCGTTCCGAGGGTGTTGACCACGATGTCTTGATCAAGTTGAGCATGACCCGTGGCAATTTGTTGCAATTGATTCGTTCTCTGCGCCAGACTGGCTCGTTCAGCAGCATCAATTTGATGGCCGAAAACAACATTAGCGTCAAGTCACCCTGGTTCCCCAAACATGCCTCCGAATTGGATAACTGCAATCATTTGATGACCAAATACGAACCCGATTTGGACATGAACCATCCCGGCTTTGCCGATAAAGTCTATCGTCAACGTCGCAAGGAAATTGCCGAAATCGCTTTCGCCTACAAATACGGAGATCCAATTCCCCACATTGAATACACCGAAGTTGAGGTGAAGACCTGGCGTTCGGTGTTCCGCATGGTCAAGGAGTTGACACCCAAACATGCTTGCATTGAGTACCGTAATGCTTTCAAGAAATTGGAGGAAGAGAAAATCTTTGTGGAAGACCGTTTGCCTCAGCTCCAAGAGATGTCGGACTTTTTGCGCAAAAATACCGGATTCACACTGAGACCAGCTGCTGGTTTGCTGACCGCTCGCGATTTCTTGGCTTCGTTGGCCTTCCGTATTTTCCAGTCGACACAGTATGTGCGTCATGTCAACTCACCCTTCCACACACCCGAACCGTAAGTATTTTTCAATAATTTTGTCGGAATTTATTCTCTCTAAAAGAGTAACAAAGTTGGGGGTACATTTTCGAAATTTAGGCCAATTTTTAAAGATTTTTGGCGATGGAGAAGCAACTGCTTCCTCTCGATGCCAAATAAAATCAAGGCCAATTATCTAAAAATATTCAGGGGAGAAGTTTCCCCTCCCTCCTTGCCTTGCCTAACTTAATGAAGGCCAATTATTTAATTTTTTGGAGGGAGAAATGGAGATCCCCTTGAAAATAACTCATACAATTCCTAGGCCAACCAAGCCCAATTATTTTAAATTTCCTCCTTCGATTAAGAACATCAAGTCGAATTTTATAAAAGTTTTCGGGAAAGGTGGCTATTCTCCTCAAAATAGCAAAACCAAGGCTAATTATTTCAAATTTTTTTGGGAGAAGTTTCCCCTTCTCGTTTCCCTTTCCTTGTCTAACAAACTCAAGGCCAATTATTTCAATTTTCAAAAGGCAAGGCGGAGTTGTTTCCTCCACAAAACTATTTCCTTTTATGAAATTTCCTTTCGCCAAAAAAAAACTTTCTTCCTCAAACGGAAATTTTCTTCAAAGGATGCCATAGATAATGGTCTGACTAAACTTTTTGGTTAGGGGAAGCAACATTGCCCACACTCTGTTGGCCAACTTTCAAGGCAAGAACAAAAGGAACCCTGATAATTGGTTAGAGAAATTCGCACCCACCCCCCCATTAAAAGGGGGTTCTCTGAAACATGGTGATGGTGCTATTGATGATGACGATGATGGCACTCTGTGACAACTCCATTAACATGGTAATTGAATTATTTAATGCCACTTGTTTCAATGGATGGGTTTGGCCTCCACTACCCCTTCGGTCTTTTGTTACTTCTCCCAACAATATTCCAACACTTCGTCTAAAGTAATTTTGTTATTATAATTTTGTTGTTGCAAAACTGATTTTGTAATTTTTTCTTCTCTTCCCTCCCCTTTACAGTGATTGCATCCATGAATTGTTGGGTCACATGCCATTGCTGTCCGATCCCAGCTTTGCTCAATTCTCCCAGGAAATTGGTTTAGCTTCATTGGGTGCCTCAGATGATGAAATTGAAAAATTATCTACCGTAAGTATTATGAAATGTTTAATTGCAAAATAAATTATAAAAAAGAAGTAGAAAAAAGGAGCAGGAAAAAATTAGAGCAAATAAGGTTTTAGAGTTTCAAATTAAAAAGGCAAAATTAAAAAAAGAAAAATTATTTCGAAGTCAAAATCATGAGATGAAATTAAATCTGTTTAAATTGATTTTGAAAATGAGGTTTTACAAAAGGTGAAAATTACTCAATTTTTCCAAAAATCGATAATTCAGTTGCCCATATGCAGTTCTCCAAACAAAAATTGAGAAAATCGGCTACACAGTTTACAAAAGTAGATAACTCAGTCTTCATTACGAACATCGGTATAGCAGTTTAAAAAGCTCAAACAAATCGGTAATACATTTTTCATAAGATCAAAAGAAAATCGATAATGCAGTGTAAATAGTTGATGGTCGATATGACAGTCCAAAAGATAATGCCGTTAAAGAATTCCACAAATCAAAAAAAAAAAAAATGTTTAAAAAGACGAAAATCCATACAACAGTTTAAAAAGATAACGCAATTGATCAAACCCTAGCCAACGCTAATTTCCAAATAATGGGTTTCGTACTTCTAATTCCTCAGGAACCACGGTCAGATAGTTTCAAAAAATAGATAAATCAGTTTCCCCATACGAAAATCGATAAGGCCGACTTGAAAAAAAATGCCAAGAACTTTAGCTCAGTTTTAACACATCACACGTAAATTGATATGGCGGCCGATATAACAGTTCAAAAAGATGACACAGTTCCTGAAAACTTTTATTGGCAAACAATTGGTTTCTAAAATAACCTTTTGGTATCCGCAACTACCAGCTTTGAACACTCAATCGAAATTCGATATTTCAGTTTAAATATTAAAATGTCGATATAACAGTTCAACGAGATAATGCAGTTAAAGGCACTCGAAAACAGGAAAATAGTAAATATTTATACCTAATAATGGGTATTCTGAAGTAGTTGTTTGGCAAGAGTATAAGCTTGTAAATCTGGCTACATATTTATTATTTAAATCTGGACATGCAATCGATGGAAAATCAATTACAAACCCATTACCAAATAATGGTTCTTAGCGTCAGTTAATGCTTAAAAAACCAGCTGAAATAGTCCTTGTATTAAAAGGATATTTGATGCCAAGAAGGTACATACAGAACTGTTCAAACTTCATCACATGTCAAAGCTCATTACCACGTAATGAGTTTTAGCACCAAAACTACTTACATATTAACCTAAATATTGTTTTTTTTAAAGGCATTTAATTCAAAGAAATGGCTTACAAGACTCTTCACATTCTATAACACTTCATGTCAAATGCTTTATGCCGAAGAAGTCTCATTACCAAATAATGAGATTAGGCATCAGTAGCCATTTACAAACCAGCCTCTATATTTCTTCTTTAAAAAACACATGCAATACAAAGAAAGTATTTACAAAACTGTTGAAACTATCAGAATTCTTGCCACATTTACTTCCTGATCTAATAAAACATCTCATTACCAAATAATGAGTTTTAGAATCAGTAATGACTTATAAAGTAGCCAGTCCACACTTTTTTTTTAATGGCAATGTAATCGTTAAAAGAAAGTATTTTAAACAACCTCTACATATTTCTTAATTTTTACATTCTCTTATCCGAGCAGGAATACTCATTATTTAAAGTACTTTTTGACATTAGTTACTTGTTACAAACCCACTTACCTATCCCTTACTTTGGACATAGAAACATCCATGGGAGCAAATATTTACAAAGTTGCCTCCAAGTCGAGAGGCGAAGTTAAAAACCACTCATTAACAAATGATGACTTCATCTAATATTTTTCTCATTATTAACTACTTACCAACCACCTTACCTACCCCTTACTTTGGACATAGAAACGTCCAAGGAAGCAAATATTTACAAATTTGCCCTCAAGTGAAGAGTGGAAATTAGCTTTAACTTCAGCCAGTAGCTTTTGACATTAGTAACTGCTTACAAACCAGCTTACCTACCCCTTACTTTGGACATAGAAGCGTCCAAGAAAGGAAAGATTTACAAATTTGCCCCAAAGTCAGGGGGGGAGTTAGAGGAGAACAAAAATTGTTAGAGGAGTACAAAATTGTATGGAGAACAAAATTGTACGCCTCTTTTGTTTACGTCGCATCCTTTTTACTGATTCGACATTTTTTGGTGCAATTTGGACCAATTAAATATTTTACTCTCTGATTGTTTTATTTTCTCCCCTTTCCAAACTTGAATTTTTAGGCCATGGCCAATGAAATTCCCATTCAACTTTAAGACAAAAAATTAGAAAAAAATTTAAAATTCAATTCAGTGAGATTTCCCTTCTCTTTTGCCTGAACTTGGTTGCATTTGCAAATTACCTAGCAAAAATGAGATTTCAATGGAGGCGATTTCAATTCATTAAAATTCCTTTTTTTTACATTTCAATTCAAACTGAAATTTCCCACCCCACCCATCATTAGTGGCTTGCCAACAAATTTAGGAAATCGTGTTTGGTTTTTTGAATAGTTTTCAAAATTAATTGGCCACTTCTTTTCAGGGCTATTGAATTTTATGCAAAACCAAAGAATTGTTCTGCAATGTTTGGGCCTTGTCTTGGTGCGATTTTTTTTTTTTTTTTTTTGAAAATTTTTAAATTGTCTTAAACATTATATTCGTTCACATTACATTGGAGTGACCTTTAGAATGTGGCTGCCACAGTTTCTTTTTTTTTTTTTTTTTTTTTTTTTTTTTTTTTTTGCATTTTCAAACAAGTTTCACGGCATTGATTTGGGGTGTGCTGGTTGAATGCATGATTATTTTTGTTTTCAAAAGCTGCTGCTGGCATTCAGTGGTGGCTGGTTTTGTTTTCAAAGTTCTAAGCCAAGTTTAAGTGCAAGCCACTTGAAATTGAGGCTGTTGTTGCTATTGCACAATTTTTCAAAAACAAAAGTCAAGTTCTCTGTTAAAACGCCGCAGCTTAGAGTCATTAAGTCAAGCTAAACTAAATTGCTCGTTTTAATCTTGTTCGAAAAATAAAAGTAGCAATTCAAGGTCTTTTTCGGATTTAAGCAATTCTAATTTTTCAATCGATTTTTTTTTAATTCCAGGTCTACTGGTTCACCGTCGAATTCGGTCTCTGCAAGGAACATGGCGAAGTCAAGGCCTACGGTGCCGGTCTCTTGTCGGCCTATGGTGAGCTCTTGCACGCCATCTCCGACAAGTGTGAACATCGTCCCTTCGAACCCGCCTCCACCGCCGTCCAACCCTACCAGGATCAGGAATACCAACCCATCTACTATGTGGCCGAAAGTTTCGATGATGCCAAGGACAAGTTCCGTCGCTGGGTCTCCACAATGTCGCGTCCCTTCGAAGTGCGTTTCAATCCCCACACCGAACGTGTGGAGATCTTGGACAGTGTGGACAAGTTGGACACCCTGTTGCATCAGATGAACACAGAAATCTTACATTTGACCAATGCCATCAACAAATTGCGTCGTCCCTTCTAAATCCAGCCAAAAAAACATGGAAGGAGAGAGATATATACAGAACTTAAATCAACCAACCAACCAACAACAATCATTCTCACTAAAGTTGAAAGGCGTAGCTCTGGGCCTTCCCAGGATAGTATTTTCCTTGGAGGCAACTCAATCAGGTTCTTTCTTCCTTTTTCCCGTTTTGTTTTTTTTTTTTTTGTTAGCAAAAGCTTTAAATGCAGGCTTGTGAATAATTCAAAATATTCCTAGTCTTAGTTGTGGTAAAGAGATGAAGAAGAAGAAGAAGAAAACAACAAAAAATTGAGTTACGTTTAATTTATTAGAAAGAAAAAAAAATTGAATTGAAAAACAACAACAACAACCTAAATATCCAATGAAAGTATTCTTTTTTTTGTATTAAATGTACAATCTACTTCAACTACTCCTCACTCACCAACTCATAGCAAATCCTCATCGAATCGCCGAATGCCTAGCCACCCCACCCCACCTCCACCTCCTTAGCACTTTTGTTTTATAAATGAATAGTTTTATTTGTTTTTTTTTCGTTTAGCAAATATTTTTCATTCTTCATCACCCAAAGGCACTCATGCGACGACGACAACAATTATTAATTTAAATCCTTTTTTATTTTCTCAAATAATTTAATTTATTATTTTGTTCGCCCATCAAACAACTATTATTGGACCAAAAAACCTATAGTTTTTAAGCCAATCCATTCCGTACCCCCGCCTTCCCCTATTATTTCATATTTTTTTATTTTGTATTTTCATGTTATTTCCTCAAAAAAACAACAAAAAATGTTTTGTTAATTATTGTATTATTTTTTTATTTTGTATTTTTTTTTTGGTACACATTTCCTTTATTTTCTCCGCCATTGTGGTAAAATTAATTTTTTCCCCCGGCAGAGAAAAACAAAAGAATTTATTAATTTTTTACCAACTCTTTTTGTATGCTGTTTTTTTAATTAATTTTATACATATATTTTTACATATATATAAATATTTTAAATGTAACTATTATTTTTTGTGTATTAAATTAGGTATGTAGTCTTATTGTGTAGTATTATTTAAGATTTTCAATTATTAAATATATTGAATTGCAAAAATAAAAAAATTAAAAAAAAAAAAAAAAAGCTTTGTGTGTTTTTATTGTTTTTTTCTTTTAGAAAAATATTTAAATGTTTATTAAAATTCATAAGTAGAAAAAAAAAACGGATTAAAAATTAATAAACAAAATTTGTATTCAAAAAAAAAAAAAAAAAAATATTAGCTATTGGAAATATTTTGCTTAATAAAAAATTAAAAATCAATTGATAAAAAAATTAGAGTTTTCGAAAAAAAAAAACATTATAAAAATGAATAGAAAGAAAAAATTATATAATATAACAAAAATAAATACAAATTTTTAGAAGAAATAAAGTTCTTTGCAATGGGAAGTTTTTTCTCAAAAAAAAAAAAATAAATAAATAAATAAAATAAATAAATAAAGCAATTTGTTAAAAAAAAACTAATAAAAATTGAAAAAAATAAGAATGTATTAAAAAATATTTGCTTAAAAAATAAAATTATTTATTACTGGTAAATGTTGATTCTCGTAAGAAATTAAAACAAAAAGTAAAATAAAATTTTTGTTTTAAAAAAATGTAAAAAAGAAAAATGTTATCAAAAAATAACAATACAATAACACGAAATATATCTCACATGGGAAAAAACCAAATCATTGCGAAAGAAGTAAAGTATAAATATTAATATTAAATTATATGTGGAAAAAATGCGCATGGAAATTATTTGCGGACATAAAAAAATTATTACCAAAAAAAAAAATAAAATAAAAATAGAAATAAATTTTAATAATCAAAAAAAAAAAAAAAAAAAATAAATATAAACAACAAAACTAATTAAAAATGCATATAAACTAATCAAAAACGTGGTTATGGACGAAAATATATATAATTTTAAAGCTCGAAAAAATGTTAAATAAATGTTCTATCCATATTTAGTAAAATTATAAAAAAAGATGTTATGAAATAAGAATAAAAAGAAGATTCTTAAAATTAACAACAAAAACAATAAAAATAACAATAATAATAATAACAATAAAAATGCTATAAATGCTTAAATCAGCTCAGACACAAATGAAAAAAATTATACAACAGTGTTGAAAAATTAATTAAAAATTAAAATTTGGTTAATTATAATTTCGGTAATTAATAAGATTTTTCGGCAAGTTAGCGATCAAAATAAAGTAGTCGTAAACATAAAAATATATGAGATTAAATCGAAGAAATCTGATATAAATGTAACTAAACCAGCTTTTACACAATTGGAAAGAAGCTACCAGACACCACCTAAACCTTCCCCAAAAAAAGCCCTTTTTCGGTCCATATAAATTCCGCGGTGCAAAAAAAATATTAATTACATGGAAAATCCGGCCGATAATGAAAGTTATGCTAAAAAAAAAACAGAAGATACGTATATCGATGTTTTGAAATCGCAAAATTAGTCGAGGCAAGTTCCCTCAGGAGCTATATCTTAAATCTGGCCGATTATCTCCAATTTCAATAGGGTGGATCAAACAAATGACTTGTGTAAAACTTCATCTGGATCGGGCAATAAATGCGACCTGTACTTTGTTTACAAAAATACATGGACATACGGACTGACATGCATAAATCGACTCAGAATGCGATTCTATGCAGATCATCAAAAAGAACTAGGGGTCCATCTCATTTCCTTTTGCACAAAATGCACAAAGACATAATACCCTGACCACCTTGTGGTGTGGGGCATAAATATTTCAGATGAACTCTCATTGTGTGTCTTTGACCACAGGAATTTCGTACACCTAAAATGAACCCTAAAAATATCATCCATATTAGATAACATAAAGTCTTTTTTTAATTTCGGCAAGCTTAGCACTTTTTTTCGAATTTTTATAATTTAATTATAATTGACTGTCTGGGTTGTGAAAAATGCGAATACACATAATACACCACAAGGTGGTCAGGGTATTATGTCTTTGTGCATTTGTTTGTAACAGGCAAAAGGAAACGAGATAGACCCATAGTTCCCTTTGATTATCTGCATAGAATTACATTCTGAGTAGATTTATGCATGCATGTCCGTCTGCCCATGCATTTTTGTAAACAAAGTACAGGTCGCAGATGAAATTTTGCGTTTGCATTAATTTGTTTGGCTCAAGGACGAACCCTATCGAAGCTGGAAATAATCGGTAAAAATTTAGATATAGCTCCCACATATATCTTCGTTCGATTTGCCTTTTATTGTGCATCAAACGTGTTATATCAGCCCGAATGGTATGGAATTTTGCACATACAACCAAATTAAGTGTGTGTGAAAATAAGTGTGTCAAATTTGATTGAAATCGGTTCAGATATAGCCATAGCTTCCATATTTATTGTTCATCCGATTTGTTATTTTTGTCCTCCGCAGCCGTAATATGCACTCAGTAACAATAATATTTGTGGAAGTATATCAAATACAGCTCAGAAATACCTTTGCTAAATTTAGAGATCGGTTAAGATTTGCATGTAGCTCCCATATATGTATATATATATATATATATATATATATATATATATATATATATATATATATATATATATATATATATATATATCTCTGTCCGATTTGCTTTTTATTGTGCACCAATCGTGTAATTTTAGTCCAAATGGGATGCAATGTGGCACTTACGATCGAATTGAGTTTAGAAGCTAGTATGTCAAATTTGGTGAAAATCGGTTCAGATATCGCTATAGCTCCCATATATATTTTTCATCCGATTTGTTATATTTGCTTTCCACAGCCATAATATGCCCTCTGTAACAACGATATTCTGGGAAATATATCAAATACAGCTCTAAAATACATTTGCCAAATTTAGAGATCAGTTCAGATTTGCATATAGCTTCCATCTATATATATATATATCTTTATCCGATTTCAAGTTAATTGTGCACCAAATAAGTAATACAAGCCCGAATTGAAAAAACCAGAAATGCCTCGGCAAATTTAGTAAAAATCGGTTCAGAGGAGGATAATATCATATACCTCTCACATTCTTCCTTCTTTTGGACTTTAAATTATAACAATAGTCATAGTTGGTATGATTAAATTCTCCCAAATTCCCCATAAAAAACTTTTATTTGTTACGTGAAGCTCTACTAAATATGGAAATTGGGGTAGGCCGAACGACTTTAAGACTTTCTTTACTGGTCTGAAAATTCTGTCTAAACTCGTTTACTAAATTTCATTACCCAACATTATTTTAGTACCCATATCATTGGATTTACAACACACCAACAATGAACCACCCATAATTTCAGAATGCTCTACCTTCAGTGGTTTCGCCTTGGAGTTGTTATGGCAGTCTTTTACAATGCGGCATATATCAGTCCAGAGTGGGAGTCAATCGAAGGGTGTCTACCCATCTGTCTCTTTCTCTCTCTCTGGCTGGTGCGCGCGATAACTCTCGAAGGGGGTACATCGAAATATTATTACCAAAATTAGATCTTGTTCGGAGATGCGCAATATCGGACCACTCCTTCTGGTACCTTCCCAACAAGAGATCAATATTATCGCAGAAATATTTCGCAGATTTATGACACAGGAAAAAATGGATCATCTGACTTTGCGAATTCTTATATTTGTACTAGACCTAGGTGAGGTGGGAAAATTGATAATATTGAACTACCCCATCAAGTTCCTCTACCATAAAGCGTGAAAATTTTGAATAATCATAGCCCTTAAATAAAATTTAAAATAAAAACCCGATTGTCTTCAAATTTCACACAACCCATTATTTTATTTTATCAATAAAAGATCTTGTGTGAGGAGGGGATATGTCGGTCCACTTCATCTGGTGACCCCACCCCCCCCCCCCCCCCCCAAAAAGGCTCCAAATGTTGATTAACAACAAGTTTCCGATTCTTTTAGAACTTCGCATATTACAATATTTTTACCAGCACAAGATCTGGTTTAAGCACCTCCTTTTGATACCTCTCCTATATAGGTTTAATATTTTGGTAATTTATAATCCTTATAACTTTCGAAAGAAATCATTTTATGCAAACATCACAAATTGGAAATAATTTTACGATTTTTCTATGACTTTTCAAATTTATCAGTATTTGATGAAGTTAAAGATGGAATACATTGGTGCATTAATTCTTGTACTTCCGGCATAAAATTAAAATTTGAAGTTTTTTCAAAATGTGTTTTTTTTTTTTTTGGTTTTATAAAGTGGAGGAAGTAGTAGTTATAGTCCAAACCTCCAAACCTAAAGAAAGCCAAAATATATTTAACAAAACGGACATGATATACAACCATTGGTAATATATGCTTTTCTACATCTTTTTAATCCTAGAATAAAAAAATACAAATAAGTTTTGTATTTTTTTTTTTTTTTTTTGAAAAAAAAAATTAAAAATCTCTTAAAACTCATATTTGGTAGTTTTGAAAATATAATATTATT